GTTGTGAATATCGAGGAGCTGGGGGAAAAGGTTTAATTAGGCTGCAAGAGCACGGTTCCTAAAATACGTCTTGCAGTAAAGTCGCCTGTCATGCAAAATAGGTGAATTTCTGCCAGCCGGTTTATTCAGTGTCCTTGAAAGGGGATTTTTCAGTTTAGGGAAGCATTTTGCCTATTCTACAAAATAGGCAACATACGGTTGCTGAATTTGCAAAGTGAATACATTTGCTGATTCTGTTTGCAAAATGGGTACGCTTAGCTATTTTTCTGCCTATTTTGTAGCAGACCCTATTTTTAGCAAAGCCCATCTACGTGCCAACGTTTCTTTCTGGCTCTTTTACTTTCTGGGGTATTGTCGCTGCCCGGGGCTGGCTGGAGCAGGGGCAGAGCTCGGTCCCTGCAGGGTCCAGCCCCGAGAGCCTCCCCAGAGGATCTGCAGGGCTTCCTCCTGCCTCCACCGAGGACGGCATAGCAGAGTGCATTTCATTGCCATCAGAGGGGTGATGCTGCAGAGAGAGGAGGGTAAAGGGAGCTGTTCTGGCTGTAAGAGGTTTATCTCCATCAGCCAGGGAGACAAAGCCGTGGGGCTTGCATGGGAATTGGACTGGTTCCCCCTGTCACCTTTGCTCTTCCCCTCCCCTCCGAAGAGCTGCTCCGTTCCCTGGAGCTGTGAGAGTGTGGGCTGTGGGAGGGCTCGGGCTCGGCACAGCCTACGAACTGCCTTCAGCTGCTACGGCGGTGTTACTATTCATCCATTTTTAGATACGCATGTCAAGTCCGATTTTGCTCCCCATCACTTACTTGGGTGATGGAGAAACTGATGGGCTGGTGAGCCCAGCCGGGAAGGGGAGCAGAGGGAGCACCGATGCTAAAAGCCGGCACAGATGGTTGCTCAGGAATGGACACGCTTGCTTAAGGCTGCTCGGAGGATGCTTGAAGAAGGCAGAGACGCTTCTGCTCCTGAAGTGCCTGACCGGGAGCTTCTCCTGGTGATTGAGCTGTGAAGATCTGGGGAACGCACAGCGCTATAAGGTGCCTGTAATCTTGGCTTTTGAAGGATGGCAAAAGATTGCAGGGAGCATGTATCCCAGCTGGATCAAAAAGCGCTAGACAGGGATGCTGCAGACCAGCCCCGCTGTGGGGGGGGTTGAAGCTTGCATGGCAGGAAGGATCTCTTTGCTCCATGGTGGGAAGGGGCTTTAAGAAAGCAGATGCAAGTCAGAAGCGTTTGGCCGGCCCGTAACAGAGCTGTGCTCCGGAGGGCTGAGCCGTGTGAGCGGGGAGCTTTGGTGCTGCCTGCCCCGCTGCCAGGGTGTCAGCTACGGGGAAATCGGCAGTGTGACGCTGATGTTGCTTTTTCCATCATGCAAATGCCAGTTCCTTAAAAGAGGAATTCTGGATAAAGCTTTCATCCGGTTGTCCCAAAGAGTGGAGGAAAAGGAAGAAAAAAAGCTTTCCTGCTGGCTGCAAAACAGCCCGGTGGCCGTGCCAGGCGGCTTTGCCGGGGCGGTGGCAGTGCAGGACCCAGCGCCGGCTCATTCCTACAGGGAATGAAAAACCTTTGAAAGCCTCAAAGCTTCTCACCAGACCGAGCCCTCGTGCTGGCCGCGCCGCAGGCTGGCACGCAGCACGGGGCACCAGCTGCCTGCCGGCGCTGAGGCTTGATAAACTTTGCGGGGTATTTTTAGCCTCTTCCCAAATGCGATGCTCTGAAAGCAGGAGGATGTAGCAGATTTGCTGGCAGGGTGGGAGCTCTCGTTTTCAGGGGGGCTGATAGCATCGCTTCAGGAGGGGTAAAAACACAGCAGCTGTGATTTCTCCGAGCTGCCATGGTTTGTTGGCATTACCTATAGCTCCTCGCCCGCAGCGCGAGATTCTCCTTGGTGGCTTTTAGGGCATTTTTGGTTTTGTTCTCATTCCTCGCTTTCATCTTACGGCCATTTCCTTTAACTCCTGCCGAAACCCAAGCATCTCCTGTGCATCTATGCGGGGCAGGAAAGCCTCTGGCTCCGGCTGTGCAAATGGGAATTATTTGTTGGGGGGAGCGTTAGTCTGCATCAGCTGCAGGGTTTGAGGCGCTTTGTCCGCCCCACGTTACTGTCAAGGTGCCTCCAAAAGGCCACGGGGATCGCAGGATGTGTTGCTGCGCTTGGGTTATTGCCAGGTCCGGGATGGCCGGACCAAACCCATGTGCCAGGATCGGCGTGACACTGGCCGCGGGTTAAAAAACGGCCACGGGCTGCAGAGCTGCTGGTGCTCGGGGTCCGTGGCACGACTGACCCGCTTGGCTCGGGGTAGCCCAGCTGCCTCCTGACCTGGAATTGGGCATTTCCATCGATTTGGGGTTTTTTTTACCTCTCCTTTTTTTTTTTTTTTTTTTTTTTTGGTGGCTGAGAGAGGGCAAGATGAGAGCAGAGCACATCTGGGAAAACCTACAGCCTTGGACTTCCCTCCAGTCGTGGGGTGGCGGTGGCAAGAGATGAGTTTATTTCTTTGAAATCTGGATTCCCCCCGTCTCCGCTGTGGTACCGAGGGCGGTGCCGAGCCGCCCGTTCTGGAAGGCGGCGTGGCGGGCGGGAGGCGACCTGGGGTTTGCCATTGATTATTTTGCAGAGCGACATCTGCTTTCGCTTCCTGATTCGGGGCCTAGAAGGCATTTGTTTCACTCAAAATGAAACCTTTAAAACCCCCTCTGGTCGCCCAGCTGCTTTCACGTGAGGCTGGGCACCATCGCTCCTGTCACCGCTGCAGCTGCCGGGGACCATGGCCGGGCATCTTCTCGGTGGGGACCTTGCCTGTCCGTGGGCATTTTCCTCCAGCAAGACAGTGGCTGGAGGAGGGAAGAGCGATTCAGGGAGTGGTGGGGGGAAGCTCATTTGTGTTGCAAATGATATTTTAATGTTATGGTTTCTGGGCTGGTCCCGTAAATACCAGGGAGAAGTGTGGTGCTGGACCTGTGTGGGCGGCTGGGTGGGTGTGCCGTGAGGGCGTCACCCAGGGGGACGTGGCACGGAAACCCCTTGCAGCACCGCGTTTCGGCAGAGCCTGGGTTTGCCGTCAGTAGGGATGCGCTCGTCCTGCTCCTGGGCTAAAAAGGCAGAGCAGCAGCTGGAAAAATACTTTGGCTTTCCGGGATGGTGGAGGAGCTGGGGGCATCACGGCACGGTCGGGCCACCGTGCTGTAGAGC